GCACACATCCCCTAAGAGCTTCCAGATAGTTAAGTCCAAAGCAGTCTGGGAAGAATTACAAAGGGATCTCACAAAACTGGGTGACTTGGTTGATAAATGCAAAGTAATGCACATTGGAAAACATAATTCTAACTAACTAACTAACTAACTAACTAACTAACTAACTAACTAACTATATATATATATATAGAGAGAGAGAGAGTTTATATTATATATATTGTATATAAATAAATAAAATGATGGGGTCTAAATTAGCTGTTACCACTCAAGAAAGATTTTGGAATCATTGTGGATTCTTCTCTGAAAACATTCACTCAATGTGCAGCAGCAGTCAGAATGTTGGGAATCATTAGGAAAGGAACAGATAATAAGACAGAGCATAACATATAATGCCTCTATATAAATCCATTGTACGCCCACATCTTGAATACTGTGTGCAGATCTGGTCGCCCCATCTCAAAATAGCTATATAGAAATTGGAAAAGGTACAGAAAAGGGCAAAAAAAATGATTAGGGGTATAGCTGTTCTATTATCATTTTTTTTGCCCTTTTGGAACAGCTTCCATTAGGAGAGATTAATAAGACTGGCATTTTTCAGCTTGGAAAAGAGATGATAAAGAGGAGATATGATAGAGATCTATAAAATCATGACTAGTGTGGAAAAAGTATATATGGAAGTGTCATTTACTCCTTCACATAACACAAGAACTAGGGGTCACCAAATGAAATTAATAGGCAGCAGGTCTAAAACAAACAAAAGGAAAGTATTTCTTCACACAACGCACAGTCAACCTGTGGAACTCTTTGCCAAAGGATGTTGTGAAGGCCAAGACCATAACAGGGTTCCAAAAAAGAGCTAGGTAAGTTCATGGAGGATAGATCCATCAATGGCTATTAGCCAGGATGGGCAGGGATGCAAAACCATGCTCTGAAGTGTCCCTAGTCTCTGTTTGCCAGAAGCTGAGAATGGGTGAGGGGACGGATTACTTGATGATTACCTGTTCTATTCATTCCCTCTGAAGTACCTGGCATTGGCTACTGTCGGAAGACAGGACACTGGGCTAGAAGGACTACTGGTCTGATGCAGTATGGCCATTCTTGTGTTTATGTACAAGAACCAAAAGTGTGCATTCATTTTTGTAGACAAATTAATTATGCTTGATTTGGAAAATTTGGGCCTGTGTCATTTTATTCTCATTGTAATATAATTTGTTTGAAAAATAACCAACAGTAAATTAGAGAGAGAGAGAGAAATATGCAGTAACCTAGGCCAGGCTTTATGCCAATTCAAGATGGCTTCATTCTTTTATCAGAGAGTAATTGGCAACAACAGGCAAAAAGAATTCTGCAAGGAAATGGTTCCAATGGTTAATTACTGACACTGTTAAAAGCTTACCGCTTATTTCCAACCTGAATTTGTTTAGCTTCAACTTCCAGCCATTGGATCATGTTAAACTTTTCTCTGCTAGACTGAAGAGACCATTATTAAATACTTGTTCCCCAAGAAGGTATTTATAGACTGTAGTTAAGCTAAATAGATGGAGCTCTTTGACTTTAGCACTATAAGGAGAGGCTGTATATTAGCAGATTCATAACAAGATTTAATCTAACCAGAAATCCTCCTGGGTGGAGACTGCAGACCTTTTGGACCTATCCGCAACTGATGCAAACAGCTTGAACGACCTCCTGAATGGCCTGGTTGTGTTAAGATAAAAGGCTAACACACAACTAACGTCCAAATTGTGTAAAGCAGCATCCTGCCTAGACTAATGTGGTTTCTGGAAGACTGGGAGATGGATGATTTGGCTGATGTAAAACTCAGATGACACCTTAGGTAAGAATTTAGGATATGGATGTAATGAAATCTTGTTCCTGGAGGTGCGGGGGAGGCCCCAGCAGTAAAGTCCTTATTTCACTCATCCTTTGGGCAGAAGTGATAGCCACCAAAAAGACCATCTTCATGGATAGGTTAAGGTAGCCATCAGCTCAAAGGGAGCTCTCATAAAACATTTAAGTATTAAGTTCAGATGCCAAGCAGGAATGGATTCTTTAATCTGAAGGAAAAGGTTCCTAAACCTCTGATAAACCTCAATTTTTTGGGATGAAGGAGGCCCTCACCCGGAGGATGGAAGGCCATTATAGCTGCCAAGAGGACTCTGATAGAGATAATAGATTATCCTGTCTTTTTCAATTCCAGAAGATAATCCAGAAAAAACAAGAGGAAGAATTAGCAAAGGAAAGACTCTACTGGTCACACCAATGGTTGAATCTCTTCCACTTTTGAATTTATTTGACATAGATTCTTTCCTACTGTTCAATAGAAAGTCTCTCTTCCTGTGAACCTCGAGGAGCCAACCTTTGAGGGACAGAATTCTCAGGTTGGGGTGAAAAGTGCAACTGGCATCTGGAAAGGAAATGTTGAATGGATGGAAAGCCTGACAAACGACCAGGTGAATCTAGGAAGCAGAAGACTCAGGAAGCAGGAACATTGCATCAGAAGGGAGAGGACCAGACTATCTTTGATCCAGTGGAAAGTCTGACTGACCAAGTAGGTCAGAAAACGGGCACCAATATGGATTAAACCATGGAAAGGGTAAATAAGATCTTTCCCTAGATGGAAATGAAACTGTGCTACAGAATGGCATTCTGAACTTACTTCAAATTGATAGGCAGAGAAATCAGATCAGGAGATCATGCAGATAATGAAACAGATCAGTGACCCTTTTCCCAATAAGCATATAAAATGAAAAATGAGGGGCTGAAATATGGTAATCACATACTACACATGTCTGAGGCCTAAATAAAAATAGAGGACCAAATGAGATATGTGGATAAGAACATGGAAATCAATCTGATTCAACACAAGAAATCCCACCCCCACCCCAAGTTTGGACATCTATACTGCAATTTTATAGCCCTGCAGTCCCATAAGCCTGTGTCAGCTGACACAGACCAGACACAGGTGTTCTACTCCAGTGTAGACATACCCTGGGGCTTTTAGTCTTGGGTTCCCAAGTCCTGCTGAAGTCATAGGGTCTTCATAGCTGTCCTGTTGTATGTAAGAGTCTGAAAAGCTAACCCTGAGTGACAATTTCTGATAAGTAGTACAGAAAGGAGGACTGCATTGTGTATCCCAACGACTCATGCCTCCCCATACTTGGGGGGCACAATCTAAAGGGGAGGACACATGAACACCCCACGTCTCCTCTGCTCTGACCCCACCTCTGCTCTGAGCCCAGCCCAGGGCTGCCGCACTGTCCCCACCCCACGTTATCTGTGGGAGGGGCAAGGGGGTGGCCTCTGTCCTCCTTCCACTGCGTTTGTCCTCCCCGCACATTCAGCCGCTCATCCTGGCAGCTAGGCTGGACAGGGAGCAGAACAGAGCCACTTCTCATGGCTGAAGCTGGCTGCTCTGGGTCACTGTTCTGTGCAGCGTAGCAGGTGCCTGAGGGAGCCCGACTGGGGAGGTGGCGGTGGCCCGCTCCCTGCCTGGGCTCTGCTGCCGATGACATGGGCCGAGCATGCCAGGAGGAGTGGGGGCTCAGGAGATATGCTACTATGATAGTGTTATGGACTGACTCTCAATGGGTGGAAGCAGAAGCTGCCATCACAGATTCTCTACACCCAATGAATTCCCTAAATAATCAATTCTCTGTTATACGTACAGATCTGAAAAGGAGACACGGGGAAATTTGTGGCTGGGCTAATCTGGTAGAGCAGCCAAAGGAGTAGAGGCAGACTAGACTGGATTGAATGCACCAATGCTACAGACAGGAGTTTGGAGCCAGGTAGGGCCCTGAAGGAAGGGGGAGGGTAGGAGCGAGAAAAGAAAGAGGAAACATAAAAATAGGATCAATTTAATTGATCATTAGAAATTGTAGCCTTCTCAAAGCTCCTTCCAATATATAGGATCACAAATGTTCAGTACAAGTTGTAACAACTGTAACACTTCTTCCTTTTACTATGTAGCTGACACAAATTAAATTTTCAGTGAAGTGTACTATACCAAAAACTAAATTTCAGCACTTTTTCCAATCCACTTTTGAACAAGGAAGTCAGATCAAATAAGGTACTGATGTAAAAAAACCTCTCAAACAGCATTCTAAAGCAAAACAGCTAAAATGGACACAGGTAAAATATAAGAGTGATAAACTGTGTCCTATACTTCATTGATTATATGATGTTTACATTCTGAGAAACCTGCTGTATGTAGCCATTGTGGAACTACTTTTCACCCTTGAAAATTATGGCAAATATCAAGAGTCATCAACAGTACACCAGTGGTAAGACAAGTAAAAAAAAATAAACAAACAAGAAAAGCAGTAACCTAAATCTCGAAAGACAGAGTTATGACGGTGCAACACAGCATCTTCCACCCATCTCTCTAGTATACACTCATATACATGCATACAAGAACTGCAGACTTCAATGGGAGTGATGAGCACAGTGTATACTTGAAGACAGATTTTGTTCCTAACAATCTTTTCCTTATATCAGATCCCTTTTTAACTGTAATAAGTTACTTTTGTCAGTTTAAAATCACACCTCCACTGTAGCTTTTAGAATACACTTTTAGTTAATTATATAAAACATGAGGGATACACAGTAAAAGGATACAGTACTAAAAGCCCACTTCACTTTAAAACAAGAAGAGAGGGTTTCATTTCCATAAAATAAACCACAATCTTCTTAAATATACTTACCTCAGGGCAGAGTGGTATAAGAAACCTCTAAGTAGTATAATAAAAGGAAGTTATAGAAAATAATTTTAATAAAAACACACTAGTCTTCCTGATAGAAAAGTTATTGGAATGTACACAAGCAAATGGAAGATTTTTTTTTAGAAAGAACACCATTTAAAATCCTTTATGGTTTACAATGTTTTTTGCCTCCTCCTCGCTACATGACTCAAAGGAGTGCACACCAGGCCTAGAGAAAAATGAAATTGAATTCCCTAGGCAATGCTGAATATTTTATAAGTAAGTTTGGAAGATGCTTACCCTGTATTGATGGAAATGATTTCTATCAGTGGGTTCTTCCTAATCTTTGGCAAATCCAATCGAGCTCCCCCCAGCCGTTTTCCATTATCTTTTTTCTGACCCAGCAGTCTCACAGAGTGACCTTCAAATGAAGCACAAAAATACAGTACATATTAAACATGAATCCCATCACTTTACTTTAATTTATTGTTCTACACATATCAAGTGTCTGCATTTAAAACAAAAAAAACCCTGAAAAATGAAAAGAAAAAGTAATCATTTGCCCACCAACGGAGTAATGTATAAAGGGACTAACACTAACAGTTAAAATAAATCACATTAAAAATCTAATTTACTTTTCTCAGCCTATTCAATGAAAATGGACTAAACAGCTTCACTTTCATGTTCTCAAGCACTAGCAAAACACTGCAATGCTTCAGTTGTAAGCATGACAGGGTTTAAAACTATTTCTACATTTTAAAAAATATGAATAGAAATTCATTTTTTAAAATAATTAACTAAATTTTAATTAATTGGTCTTAAAGCTTATTACAGTGGTTTTCAACCTTTTTTCTTTTGCAGACCCCTAAAAAATTTCGAATGGAGGTGTGAACCCCTTTGGGAATCTTAGACAGTCAGATCACAGGTTGAAAACCACTGGCTTATTACATAACAGAGCCTAAATTTTGGATGTAATTTATTCTCATTGTGTCAATTTGAGCAAAAATGCTTACTAAGTCTCTACTGGCAGGGTGATAGTATATTGTACAGATTCAGAAGAGACACCCCAGATCAGAGAATGAACTTCATCATAACTTACTTCCTAAGGCCAGTGGTGCACAAGGAGCACTATCTACAAGTGGTATTTTCATGCTGTGTGCAGCTGTGTATCAGCTACACCATTGTCTCCATGTCCCCTGTCTACGGACTTACAAAGCACACATGCCAGCGGTTCACTCACCTTCAAAAGCAAAATATTGCAATGAAGAGCACAAACAATGTCTTTATAATAGCCAGAGGTTGGGTGTAATGCCCCAGAGTGACAAACAGGAGAACACTTAAGGGCCATATCTCCACAAGCCTAGATTGAGATAGGAGGGTAAAGCAAGTAAAACTCATGGCTGAATATCTGATGGAGATGGAAAGAGGCCTGGCTGGACATCTGATAGAGGTGGGAAAAGGTTACTAGTAAAAAAAAAAAATCAAATATTCTTCAAGGCTATTAGAATAATCTTCTTCAGTAGACGACGGGGAAAAGTGGGAAGCTCTTCTTTGATAATGTATGATACTTGCCATGAATATTTTGTTTTTAAATATACCATTAAAATATAAAACTACCCTCAGGAGAAAAAAAAAAAGCATTAAATAAACAATGAAGTAGCAACTGAACTAAGTCCAAATTGCTTCAGTGAAATGGATTTCAAGTTCAACTCAAATAAAAAACAAGGGCCAAGCAAGTTTGCTCATTCCTACTATACCAATAGCTCCGCTTAGAAAATTAAATAATTCATCCATCAATCATGGTGTCTCTCCTCTAAGGGCTTTCCTCAGACATTATGTAATTTAAGAATAATGTGGCATTCATACTGTGATCTCTTCCTATAATATGGCTACAGTAACCCACAGTCAAGCAGCTGCATTTGGCATACCATTCCTTTCTGATTCTTAATATAAGTAAAATTTTTCAATCAAAAACTATTTAATGAAGAAGTGAGCAAGATTAGCATGATAATGTAATAATTAATACTAGAACAGATATCAAAAGTTCAATGATGCCTGGGAAAGGAATACTATTTTTGTACTAGCACATGACAGAAATTTCATTACATCCTGCTGTGAATTCAGTAATATGCTGCCTTTGCTAATAACATTTGCTAAATTATTCATCTCCACTATCCCATACAAATAGCAATATCTCTGTCTAATGATACAACTAGTTATTTTCCAATCCAATGGTTCATTAAGGAGTCACCAACCTAACAAAATGCATTTTATATATTTTTAATAATAATGGAAGTATAGCAGTATGACTTGAATAGAAATTAAACTGGGAGCAGCGTACCCCCTTTCTCTATTTCTTATAAATACTGTATCTCTGCAAAAATCTGAACTGAAGGAAAAAGTAAGTTAGTGTGAACAACGGATAGAGAGTTTACTGCTACAGTGGCTTATTTGGAATGGGTTATTTTTTCCAAGCAGAAATCAACAATAAATGGTCTTCCCAAATCATAAATACGAATTAAGAGTAAAGGCAATAAATAGTGTAGATCAGTGGTTCTCAAAGCCGGTCCTCCGCTTGTTCAGGGAAAGCCCCTGGCGGGCGGGGCCGGTTTGTTTACCGGCCATGTCTGGAGGTTCGGCTGATCGCGGCTCCCACTGGCCGCACTTCGCCACTCCAGGTCAATGGGGGCTGTGGGAAGGGCGGCCAGCACATGTAAAACTGTTGTAAAAATAGGCAAATATCTAAATGAGTTGATGTACTCCCTGGAAGACCTCTGCGTACCCCTAGGGGTACGTGTACCTCTGGTTGAGAACCACTGGGATAGAAGACCTGACTCTCCTTTGCCTTCATGACATATTTTACCCTCTGCATGTGGTCCACATTAGACCTTGCTCCCACCCAACCACTCTATTATGTGCTGGACCCACTGCTCCATCCTCCCTCACTCTCCTAATATTGTCAGAGATTCCACTAGTACAGATAGAGAAAGCAATTTATCCACATCCCGTCTGACACATGTGCTATTGATTCCAAACATCCTACACCCATTTGTAAGATGGACCCAAGATCTTTTTATACCTAATATGAACAGGAAAGGTTTGTCCAGGCACTCTCAAAGAAACAGCACTTTGATGCTTCATATATGCAAGACGGAAGGCAACTTCTTTCATGTGACAACTTTCAGAAGTCCCCCATCAATAAGAAGAGGATAAGCAAAGGTAAGGGGAGCAATGTTTCGACTGATACCATAATTTAGTATTTACAGAATGCCTGTACTTTTGTAGAGGGAGTCCTCGGACTTACGACACAATTCATTCCTCAGAATTGCAATGTAAATCAAAACGTTGTAAGCCGAAACCGCTTTTCCCATAGGAATAAATGGTATGAAGAGGGGATTAGTTCCTGAACCAAGGCATGATACACTATTTTCATCACAATGACCCATATTTTTGTACTAAATGAATTATAGATGACCAATGTTGCAACATCAATGTATTTATGTACACTGTATTTTGTAAACACCATTCAAATAAACATATAAACTCACATATGCTGCTCCGAATACTGGCTACACAGGCTCAGAAAGCCAGGGAGAATGGCACAAATGCTGAACCTCGGCCAATCACTGTTCAAGCTTTCTGACTGGCTGAGCCCAGGGCCAGGAGCCAATCAAAAACAAGTGGCAACCCTACCCAGCAACAAGCTACCACGCTGCCTTGAAGGCAATCAGAACTGATCCCTTCCAGCTCCATACCACTATAATGCAACGAGGATGTGATTTCAAGTGAACTTCATGCAAATCAAGCGTCGGAAGGATGAAACAAGCATCATAGGGGCGAAACGGGCCGTCAATTGAAAAGCGTCGTAAGTGGCGTCCGACATAAGTCGGGCGTCGTAAGTCAGAGGACTCCCTGTATTTTGAACTACAACACTCTCAATTCCAGGCACATTGAAACTTTTGTTTTTCAACCTCAGCTACAAATTTGTGACCTTCAAACTCCCTCCCCCAATAAATACAACAAAGACAGTTTTGTTTTAAACAATAGCTTAAGAATTTGTTGACTACTTTGTTTCTATTAAGAAACCAATAGGATTTTATAAAACTGAATTCCTACATCTCTTTACATAATGTAGATCTTTCCTCCCGCTGTATTTTTGTTTGTTTTCATTATAAACCTTAAAAATAAATATTTCATCTCCCAAAAGGGAAAGATAAGCAACATTCCCCTAAATTAACTGACCGATATCAGTTCCAAACTAATGTCGGGCATGATGTAGAAAATAGTAGCACAAAATCACATTTATGAACACCTTACACAGCATCAGATTATGAAAGAGAAAAAGCTGTGATCAGGTTCCCTTCCAAGGCCTTTCCTCTGAGTAAGTTTATCTACCTTTCTGACTCTACAGCATGGAAGCCATGGGTAATTTTGTGAACGTTTTCCTAAACCAAAACACAAGCATTTTCATATGCTTCTGCACAAAACATTTTGAATAAAATTTGAGTTAATAAACCAAAGTACAATAAGCAATGGTCTTCCATGTTGGCTATCAAACAAAAAATCCCCGAAAGTTTGTTCACAGCTTACAGTGTTGAATCAGATGACTAGATTCACACAAGGGTCATGTTTTTAAAACTATCCTTTTACATTTGGATATAGATTTGTCCTGTGATCCATGAGAGTCCAGAACCTATCTATAGCTGTAGTAATCTCTTGCACAATGATGATGGCAAGACAGATATATTTCTATTTGCACTACCATATAAGCAGACAAAAAAACCTGTACTTTATGCAACATTTGAAAGACGTTTAACTAAAGATTTGGCTAAAGCTTCAGAGCAACTAGACAATTACTGAATAATCAAAACAATAAATGGACACAAATCTGACATCAGGAATCATAACATTCAAAAACCAGTAGGAGAACACTTCAATCTCTCTAGTCACTCAATAACAGGCCTCAAAGTGGCAATTCTTCAACAACAAAAACTTAAAAAACAGACTCCAATGTAAAGCTGCAGAACTGGAATTAATTTCCAAACTAGATAGCATCAGCTTAGGCCTGAATAAAGACTTGGAGTGGTTGGGTCATTACAAAACCTAAACTTGATTTCCCCAATACTTAAATTTCTCCCTACTGTTACTCACACCTTCTTGTCAACTGTCTGTAATGGGCCACTCTCTTACCACTTCAAAAGTTATTTTTCCTCCCTTGGTATCCTGCTATTAATTGATTTTTCTTGTTAGACTGAACTAACACTTGGTAAAGCACCCCCATCATGTATTTATACGTGCTCCTGTATCTTTTACTTCATACATCTGATGAAGTGGGTACTAGCCCCCAGAAGCTTATGCCCAAATAAATTTGTTAGTCTCTAAGGTGCCACAAGGACTCCTCATTTTTTTTGCTGAATAATC